ATATTCCATCATATGAATTTTGTACTAATTTTTATACATAGTGCACCAACAGCTTTCAATACTCTTCAGTAAATATTCCAAAGCGTACAGAACTTCTACATGAACCAGTATTTATTTCTTTAAAATCCTTTCGATTCACTTGTTTAACAGAAAAACAACTGCATTGTTATGCAATCATAGTTTTTCTGTTCATTACAGAGAGGATGGTGACCAACAGTGAGAGTATGAACTTCTAATCGACTCTTTCATAGCTGTATGATGTCACTGGGCGATGCAGGTTTATATCTCAAAGGTGACATCGATTCCCTGTAGGCTATAGATAAGGCTTGCTGAAGAGTGAAAAAAGCATGGAACCTAAGTAAGCCAGGGCTTTCTATCGATTACCCACAACCACACAACATTAATATCAAAGTGAATTACGCTGGTGAGTCCATCAACTTGGTGGTCACATTACAAGACAAATGATAAGATTCTACCTGTACTTTGAACAAGAAAGCACGTAACTAGTTAGCCTCTAAAGATCTAGTCAATGTATTAAATTTCACTTTTTCGATCAAAATACTTTTTTCATGTCGTACAGTATGAGATCATATTGAGCTGTCTTCGTTTTGTAACTTTCACTGATCTAAAAATTGAAACTGAATAATAAAGTAACTCAACTCATTAGGGACTTGCTTCCAGATGGATATCAGGAAGCTCTGATGAGAAGCCGTGACCTGTGGGGTCAAAAGTTGGAAGTGAAGTGGTTGCTAACTGAAGACCTTGGGTGATAGTCGCGCTATGTCGTGAATTGAAAGAAGTTGGAAATTGTGAACCACTGGAAAGCACCAACACAGTGGCTGAATGGTTAACGCGTTCGCTGTGAAACCTGAAGGTTGTGAGTTCGATCTGTGGCGGGGTCGTGAGTGCGTACTGCTGAGGAGTCGCATACTAAGACGAAACAGCTATCCAGTGCTCCCAGATTTTCAATGGTTCCTCAACTGATGTCAGTCCATGATGAATACTACTTCTAACTCAACTTCATTTCTTTATGAAACGCCTTAAAATTCATATCAGATTTCATAGTAGTTTCTCTCTAATCACTTCATCTTAGATGACAGTGTGACAAGATTTTTCTGTTGCGGCAAGAATACCATGTCCGCGATAAAGTAAATGCATTATAAAATATTTATATTTCCTTGAGTAAATTAAATCATCCCTATTCAATAATAATTTGAATATTTGACTCGGGTTCAAATAAGTTAGAAACTTCTTTATATTGTAATAAGTTTGGTGGTCAGTTTTGGGGTCTAGGAAGCACATTTCTTCCTATTTGGGATTTCTCAGCTGTATGCACTTGCACCCCATTGAGTGAGGTTGTTCCCATTGGGACTCGAACTTAGTACCCAACGCTTCAAACGCCAGAGCGTTATCTGTTAGTCCACTAAGGTACAAAAGACACTACTTACGTTTACTTTTCCATCTACCATACCTACCTGTTTACATGCATTGCTGCTTTCCAAGTTTATATACTTATTAAGCTAGTTAACAAGCAAGCTGACTTATAATCATAACTGTCATCAAGAAAGAGAGATAGGAATGGTGTAATAATTCATTCACATGAGAATGAAAGTGTGAACTTTGAGCGAATGCTGTACATGAAGAAGAAAAGTGGATGATTTTCAAAAGTAGGGGATAACATTAACATGAATGAATCTGCTGAGTTTAAGTAGCAACACTATCATTCACTGAGATGCAAGTACACCCATCTGACGAGTCCTGAATGGAAAGAAATGCACGTCCTAGATTCCACTGCTAGCTACCACCAAGCGAATTACACCAAAATGATGAAACATATCTTAATGATTCCATTTTAGTTTGTTTATTAGAGATATCATACAGTGAAACAGTGGCATTTACTGGATAACATTTCGAACACAATTTATTGTCCATATTCATGTCAGGTAACTTCAACAACCACTTCGAGATAGACTTCATATATTCCTAATCTACTCTCTCCTTCTCTGTGATGACAAGGGTAGTAGAATTTTCCATATAACTGGGACAGGTGCAGCATCATTTCTATCACTGTATGTCTTTGGTGTTGATTCGATAAACGCAGATTCGGTTATCAATCTCTGCCTCCCTTTACCCAACTAAGTTAGTTTTCAACACTGTTACCTGATATGAATATGGACAATAAATTGTGTCCGAAACGTTATCCAGTAAATGCTACTGTTTCACTGTGGGATATTCCTAATAAACGGACTAAAATGGAATTACAATCGACCACAGTGCCTAAGTCTTACTCTTACATTCATATCCTAATGACGACTATTCACATTCTATTAAGATAGTTAAATTTTTCAGAAAAAAGTTATATAAAACTACTATCTGTGAACATAGGTTTTCATTATAAAGTTAGGTCGAAAGTGGGTTTTCAAACTATATTTATAAAATTTATCTACTAACCCTGAATACTCTGATAAAAGTTGATTAAAAAAAATGTTTTTCATTCTTCTTCCGTATTCTCCTACAATATTCAATGTACTCAATTACCCAGAAATCTACGAAATTGTGACTGACATATGGATGCAAATGCTGAAACTTGTGATATTCCACTCACTGCGTACCAGATGTGCTTAACACCAGAATTTTGTGCGTATTACGTATAAGTAATAGTTGAATGATCACTAATGGGGTAAGTAATATATTATCGTATACATTAATCAAATTAGATATATTATTTATGTTGTAGTACTAACTCTCCTAACAATGAACCTGTGAATCTGATCATAAAGTTTTATCCCAACACGCCTCCACTCATCAGTGATTTCTATGAACTTACCAGTGTAGATGTTGGTTCGAATCTCAAATACAGACATAAGTTTCTTCAAGGGTATATCTTATGAATGCTGATTGACTGTTTAAATTCACTGCAGCTATTTGTTTAAGGCATATATTCTTATCAGCCATCCAATCTTGGAGTTGAAAATCTCCTTTCCTAAAGTTTAAAAACAAATTTTATTATCGTAAACAGTTTATACAACTTCTCCTTTTTCTGTTATTATGCACTTTGAAGTGAATTCCTTGAGAACAGTATCATCGTTAACTGATGTCAATTGGGAAACGACTGAAAAACCCAGAGCTCCTAGTGATAGTATCATTTTATTTTGGGGCTTTTTATGAATAGAAGCTGTCCTCAAGTCAATCAGTTTTTCATAAGCAGTCAAATGGAACAATTTTCAGAAAGCCTCGATGACTGATTTTGAAGTTCAAACTAGCCACAGGTGGTCTGTTGCGTTAAACAACTAGATAATGAGACAGAAAACCCACTACTAATTTTGGATGATGGTTAAGCTACATTATTAAATAAATAAGGTTCAACAATATGAGTTACTAAAATCACATTCAGTTTTCTGATATCAACTTGTTCGCCATGAAACTTAAATATCTTGGGTATCGTCAGGTGTTTACTTCGAACTGCCAGCTGTTGAATAGTATCACACTGTGATGAAAAATTAATGGTTTACTTACTGGTTTTCAGTGATTTCACAGCTGGCATGAGTTTCTATTGAAAGTTACTGTATTTTGCAAAATACCATCTAATATAATGAGAAATAACTTCAAACTTAACTACTACTGAAAAATATGTTGCTGCATTTTTTCAAGTTTTTTTCCACTATTTCTGTTTGATGGCTACTGAGGGGGAAAGGAACATAAATATTGCATTCAAAGCATACTGTTCACTTGGAGAGGTATTTCGCTTAAAAAGAAAGAATTGATGAGGTTTTCCGATTTAACTGTAAACGTTGAAGTCAACTTTAGTCTGTATTATGACAACCATAGGAGTATTACACTGTCGTTGATTGGACCGAATTGATCAGTCTCTATTGGCATATGGGCTCATGTGCGAATGCCTCGATATTGCCTGTGTTTTTAATTATAGAGACTGATCAATTCGGTCCAGTCAACGACGGTGTAATACAAGCAATAACACTAAACCTATACCCGTCGCACAAGAAGTGGCTATCGTGGCTCGGCGGTGTAATGGATAACGCTCTGGCATTTGAAGCGGTCGCTCCTGAGTCCGAATCTGGGTGGGAACAATATCACTCACTGGAAGGCAGGTACATTCAGCTGACGAGTCCCAAATAGGACGAAATGCTCATCCTGGATTCCACTGATAGCCACTGCCCATCATTATCAACCATATGAGTACTCTAAGGATAGATATCTTTGAACTTTTATTGACACTGACATCTCGGTACACATTTAATCATTTTGATGACACGTAGTATGCAATGTGTTTTACTATATAGTGGATCATTAATTTTCACCAAATAATAGCTGTAAATATACTAGCCATTGTTGTTAATTTCTCAAGTTGTGGCTCTAGGAACTGCAACATACCTAAAATGGCACAAAGTTCCTTAATATTCAGTTGAATAGCTTGTGTACAAGCGATCACTTTACAGATAGCTTTCATCACCTCTTGCTGATAGTTAGATACTACTGATTGCTTTGAAAATTATTAAATAAACGATGAATGTAAGCATGTGAATAAGATAGAATGAATCGTAGCCGCAAAAAGTTCATTTCATACCCTAGGACCAATAGTTGCAGGGTAGTGATAGATTTTACTCACTAAAAACTTGTAAAAACTTATAACACTAAAGGGAACGAAACGTACGTTCTAGATCCCACTGGTAGTCACTAAGATGAATGGAATATAATGAATATCCTGGCAGTATCAAGACATTCACATAAGTGCCCATAAACCAAAAGAAGTTAAACAATTTGGCCTTATGTAGCAAGTATCAAACAACAGCTGTGACTAAATCAGTTATTGTACATAATAGGATTTCGATATCTCTACAGAATATCAATCTCCTTGAATCCACATTCAAAGATACAACTTACTTAGTAAATAAGCGCAAATAAATCGTGTAGGTAGATTTATAATCTTCTTGCCTACGTCGTCAATCGTTAGTCATAAGGTAGAAGCATAAACATCAGTAATAATTATAGCATATTATCAAACTTTACAACGACGGAGAACAAATTACTATCAATCATATAAACATCATAAACTTGTTTTTATTCAAATGAAACCTAAATTTACTATTTACACTGTATAATATTTAATAATATTAAGTGAAGTAAAATGAAAAGAAACTCATCTTTCAGTTTGTTTTGTAATAGTTTTTTAGGAATAAGGAAATATTTGATAAAAAGAAACTCTGGAAAAAAAACGCTACTTGTTCATTCAATACTGAGTAAAATTTACATGTTTGATGAATGACTTGAAGAGAAGAAGAAGAGATAGCGAGAGAAAAGAAAATAGAAACAATAAATAATATAATAAAATGACAAAATTTTGTTTTACTTACTGTTAAGATTACGATTTTTAATCAATTCAATAATTAGAGTAGTTGAATTTACTACTAATAATCTTTATAGTAGTAAGTAGTAGATAATGTAATGAATATGAATTTCAGTGTTTTATCAATGCTTTCAAAAGAAAATATGATTCCAAGAGAAAAGTAATAAGTTATATAAACCTTAAAGATGATAATATTTCTAATTGGACAGCATAAACTCTTCAATATAGAATCATATTCATGTGATTCAGGTTTTTCTTCCAGTTACAAGTTTATCATAATTCAATTCAATCTCTTTATTATTTTGATTACTAAGGTCTTTATTCATAGTAATATTTGTATTAAAAAGTGAACCATATACACCTAGTAATAAATCCATAGATTCTTGAAATTTTTTTTCAGAATTTCTATGAACTTGCTTTTGTCCAGTACTGGTTGTCATCATCATTTTTATGATTGAATCATCTGAATGAATATATTTCTTCATTGGAGATGTATGTAATGATTGTTTATTTAGTGAGAAACAGTCAGATTGAGATTTTGATTGGTTACATATTCTAGAATTCGTACAATCTAATCCAAGATTTCCTGAAAGCCATTGTTTTTCTGAAAATTTATTTTCAAACTCATGATGTGATATTAAGCTTGAAGGTATTCCATTTGATGAAGAATAAAATGATGGTGTTGATGCTGAATATGATGATGATATCATCGATGAAGATATTGGAGGATATAAATGATCTAAAGTTGGATTATATTTATGAATATTCAACTTATGCCTATTTAAATCATCTGATATTTCTTCATAGTTGTTTGGTACATAAGATCTGTTGAAAAGTGAATTTTCATATGGGGAATGCATAAAAGGATTTAAGAAAGGTGATACTGAAGACGATACATGTTCTATGGGAATACGATTGAAAAAATCTAGAAATGGTGGTGTACAATTTACTGGAGAATGTAGTGAATTCATAGTGTTATCATTATTAGTGTTGGAAATGAACTGTGATTTAGGAATTATTGTAGGATGATGATGAGGATGATTGAAGATTGGAAATGAATTTGATAAAAGACATTCACCATTGTGTGGAATAGTATAATTTCTTGCTAATGATGCATAATAACTTGCTAAACGTAAATTAAATAATCGACTACGTTGTAGTGAATTTGTTCGACGTCTTAATTTTCCTGTTGTTCCACCAATATATACATCCTCACATGATGGATCAAGCATCCAATAATTACCTTTACCTGGATCATCATATGCACGTGGTACTTTAACAAAACATTTGTTCAATGATAAATTATGTCGAATAGAATTTTGCCAGCCTTGTTTATTATTCTTATAATAAGGGAAATTTGTAGTAATGAAATCATATATACCATTTAATGTCAAACGTTTCTCTGAACTACTCCTGATAGCCATCATAATTAGTGCATTATAACTGAATGGAGGTTTATCTGACTCTGAACTTTCTTTTACTTTAGTCGACTTTGAATCTTGTCCGTCAACACTACTTTTATTCCCTTCATCTTCTTGGCTTTTATTCTCCTCCTCATTCTCTATAGGTTCCTCTTCGCTGTCTTCTTCTTCTTCTGCTGCTGCACCAAAAACATCTTTTTCACTGCATCTTTCGAAACATCGCCTTTTATTGCCATTATTTTCAAAGTGTTCTTTATCATTATTCATACTGTTATCAATCTTACTGTTAATTTTATCAATAACCTTGCGTTTCATATGTATCGGTGAACTAGTTAACGCATTATTTGACAATATTGGTTCAGATAATGAATGACATAATGATTGTGGAGTTAAGGGACTTACAGACTGAGAATCGCTTGTTGAATGGTAATTTGAAGTATCTTCGGGTAGAGTCATATTTGTCATGATTGATGAATGATTAATATTATCATCAAGTAGTGCTGTAGTCGATAAGCTGGGTAATAGGCTTTTGGAATTGTTTGAATGTTTTGAAGAATTTAATACCACTGTATTCTGACGTGAACAGAAGGAATTATCCCATACAGAATTAGATGATACTTGATGAAGATGATGACTTGGGTTATGGTGACGATAACTTAATGGATTATGAAGACTAGTATTTCTTTCAAACTCTTGTTCCTTATTGCTGAACTGTTTTTGTCGCCAAGACGGTTGACTAGTGTGCACTGTTGAAATGACTTCAGAAGAATCGAAAGAATCAAAGTATAACAAATCTTTTTTCAAATTCTTTTTGATGCCACCATTATCAGTATTTGTAGAGCATTTAGCAGTCGAAGGATCTTGTTCATCTGATAGATTTAGCATAGACTGTATGCTGAAATTACTGATAAATCCAGAGGGTTGAATATGTTCTTGTTTGTGGGACATCTTCGTGGTTTACTGGTTCATAATATTCTTTTATAAGTATTGAAATATCTTTTGACGTATATTTATATGTTTTTATTTCAGGTTTGACAGAGAGAAAGTTAATTATTTATCCGTATTTCATGGGCTTACATGAAGTAACAAAAAAATGAGGGAAAATTAAATCTGTTCTATAATGGGAAGTTTATCAGCCAATGAAAATGGAGTAGATATGGGAAATCAGTTAAGTGTCCGTTTGTTAGTCAATCAGTTGATTTCAAATGGTGTTTCTTACTCTCTGTCTCTATCTCTATCTTTTGAGGATGTGATGGTAGTGAAGCTTTAAGGGGGTTAGACATTTATTTCACAAGTGTTTTATGTTTGAAGTATAGAAAGGGAGGAAATACGGAGAATTTACGATGTTCTGCATGCAAACAAAAGTCAAATTAAAAGCGTCTTTCCATATGTTTATATACGATTGGTTAACACAAACAATATTTTTCTTCCATCAATTTTCGTTCACTTGTCAAAATATATGTGGAGAAACATTTTTTTTTAGTAGATAGAACAAAGGAGGAAGTATGAAAATGCTTAATTTGTCCAGAGAGAAAATAATGTCACAAATTCATGTGTATCTAAATTTGAAGATGACAAATGAACTGATCGTTCCAAGATAGAACTGACAAGTGATTGATTTTTCACCTGGATACTTTCAACAAATATACTTATGAGAGATTGATATCACTCAGAAAGCTGGCTAATCACATTTTTGTTGTGATACCTGATAGTCCTGTGCTTAATACCTTCCAAGGTCATGGATATGTACTGCTAAGGAGCTTTGAGTCGAACTAACTGTTCAGCTCTCCCATGTTTCATTCATCCTCTAGGTGACATCAGTCCATGATGAAATAATGTTGGAACTAGTTAATTGTCTCAAACCATTAACTGCAATATATTTTTCATAAATTAAGGTGTGAGCTACTGAAAAGAGTCGAAGAATGACTTAAATAATACAGTGGACCAGCAGAATTCGCTTAGAGTAATTCTCAAAGATGAATAGTTTCTATAAGGATCAGCTCATCTTAGTTTGTAAAGTATGTTCTTCCTTGATATATAGTGTTTCAAGTAACGAAACAAGCTTTCGTTTTTCTCCAAGCAGACTAAATCAATACAGAAGGTTTGGTAAAACAAGTAACAAGTTCACTGCTTTATATTTTAACTAGTTTTACATAGAAGTACCTTCTTTGATGGTTGTGTCAAATCATAAAAGTGTAGATGTTTTAAAAATCTTCCCTTGGTTGCTAGATTAATCAATGATTTCTTGGTAATATAGTATACTTCACTCAGAGGACTCAGGATTATGCATTAGTTAATAGGTACAGTGAACAGCTAGTTATTTCAGATAACGTAATGTTTTATATATTGACCTTTAAACTAAGTTTACGCTTTTATTAAGTAATTTTCATTATTAGATGTTAGTTGGTTGGAGGCAATCGGCAGGAAGCCCTGGACCTACGTTTCGTGCTTTTTGGCACTCGTCAGCAAGGCGTATCTGCAACCTCGACGGAGCTGATGTCCCGCCTGATATTGGAACCCGCGTCACCCAGTGTTGTAGTCAGCGACTTTACCACTGAGCTATTCGGGTCGCGACTGACCTCCTGTAGGACTGGCTTACATGTATTGATTGGTCATGGTAGTGCAACCGATTTCATGTTGTCTAGTCCTGAGTCCAGATCGGATTCTATCAATCATATTTGCAATCTGGCAACCAAGCTAGGAAGCTCAGCATCGCGGTGCACATTAGTAGATGTTAGTTGGTTGGAGGCAATCGGCAGGAAGCCTTGGACCTAGGTTTCGTGCTTTTTGGCACCCGTCATTATTCTCAGGTTTCATAATTTGATTACATTCATTCCTATTCCGTTCTAAGAAACTCATTCGCTAATTAATATCCCAAAGAAAAAACTGAGTGGTGAGCGATATTGATGTGTATATATCAGTTTGTGTACATCGGTCATATCATGTATCAGACTGTGAAATGTACACCTGTAGACTACTAAGCTAGCTGACAAACAACAAACGAAAATGCTTCTTCAGTTGTGTAACAGAATGTCCAGTAAACCTAGGACAGTCTCTTTTAAAAGTCTTTGGAAATTTTATAAAAGGTACAGTTAGTACATCTAAAAGGAGTAAGAATGAGACATTTGATCATGACTGAAGTGTTAACAGTTCAGGAGTTGAAACCCTCTTTGTGCTTCCAAGAAAGTATATATAACTGCTCTTTGTCATAGTCATAATAAATGTCAGTTACTGTACATAATTCTTTTATCCTTTAATTATATATCCTTTTATTATTGCCTGTTTTGTTTGTTAGTTGGTTGAAGGCAATTAGCAGGAAGCAATGAGCCTAGGTTTCCTGTTTTTTGGCACTTATCAGCAAGGCGTGTCTGCAACTTTGAGAGAAGCGATGTCCTGCCTGAAATTCGAACCCTCGTCACTTAGTATTATAATCAGCAACTTTTCCTTTGAGTTATTCGGGTCGCAATTGACCTCCTGGATTAGATATATTGAGTGGTCACTGGAGAGCAATCAATTTTATGGTGTCTAGTGCGTTTCATCCCATCTGGGACTCGTCAACTGGATGTACCTGAACTCCAGTTAGTGATGTCGTTCCCACTGAAACTCAAATACAGTACTTATCGCTTCAAACGTCAAAGTGTTATCCCCTAGGTAACTGAGACATGACAGCCACCTCTTATTGTTATTACTTATTGATGCACTCCTGTGCAGTTATTTTGATATTTCATCAAGAGACAAGTTCATATGCCAACAGAGGTCGATCACTTCAATCCAGTATAACAACAGGGAGTTATAAGTACCAACAAACACTAATAACAGTCGTACTTGTTTTTAAAAAGTCGATGGATATTATATTTGACTAAATTCAATAAATCACGAAAATGTACATGATCTGGTTCTTAATAATAATTACTTTCTTTAAAGCAATGAAGATAGTTATCCATACAAAGTATATTCCAGAGTTGATATATTAGATTTCGTATGAACAAGAATGAGTTCACATTCTTTTCCCAAATTCATCTGAGACTCCTCAACAATCAGTTTTTAGTGTTGTTAAAAAGTTTGTTGTGTTTGAGACTGAGAGGTGGTCAACTCCTCCCAGTTGAATTTCTTATATTGATAGTCTGTATAGAAGAAGGTACTCCCATGAATGAAATGAAATATAACTATCATTTTGAATCTACCAAGCAATGACAGATTGATAATTAGTCTGAAATACTGTAATACATCCATCTCCGTTAATTTGAATTATTTCTCAATTATAAGGAATCTCGTTCAGGACTAGGAAGAATATCTTTTCTGATACCTAAACCTAGTGTACACAGTAAGATTTATTCAGATTGTGTACTTTTAGAGTGGACATAAAACAGTTTAAAGAGTAGAGTAACCTCGAAGATGTACTGAAACTTCATCGACTGGAATGGCTTTCACATGTACTGTGCATGCCAAACCACCGCCTACCAGGCCGTACAATACTACATTGAGTTGGAAGAGGTTTCAGGGTGACCAGATCAAGATATATCCATAGTCCATGAAGTCTTTGACTCTTCGTCTGGGCTGCGTACGGAGATGCAGACTATTTGACTTCAGTCCCCGTGACGATAGGAATCAGTGGTTGACGACTCTTGCTAGCATGTCTGAAAACTGGCTACAATGATTCAAATGTATTCACTGCATGACTTCCTCTATAGCTTGAATACTTGCTCTATGTTTTATCTTCATATTGTTTATTCTCTCACATAGTGAAGTGTGACAATCTGAACCCATGCACTTATATGCGACATTCTTCGTTGGTCATGTTTATGTCTGTCTGTCTGAAGGCTTACTACATGTACATTTTCTCTGTAACTAACTTTATATCATGGCAGAAAACTTCATCAAATCTGATATTATAAATTAATGTAATGCATCAGTAAGGAATTAACTGAAGGAGAAAAGTTTTGCACAAAATTTTACGTTCATGATCTAAGTAAAAGTAAAATGTAAGGGGGGTAAACAGTATCAAATGAACTGTAGAATAACTTTTTATTCCCAGCGTTCTTATTTAAAACTTTCATATAATTACTACCAGAGATACCTTTAAATTTAGTGTTTATTACTCAGCAGGAGTTGAACTTTAGAAGAGTAAATCAGATCTATTCATGCATAACACCATACATAGAATATTTCAACACATGAAATGATCCTTTCCTTGTTTCCATATATCATATCGTATTAATTTCTTCATTCACTAAATAAAAAAACAATCTAGAAAGGGAATATTGAAAGTTCTATATCTGATTTCAATTAAATATAACTTTATAGAAATATTAGAATAGACGAAACTTTTGGTTTAGGGAGATCTAATACTTACCTATTTTTTAAGTATTTAAGTATTTAAGTATCTTTGATGTGTATGTGTGTACATTACAATTTTGTAATATTCAAAGCGTGAAAAAATTTCAACACATAGTGCAATAATGAGATTTTTATATACTACTAATTGAAATCAGTAGCTTTTAAATACCGATATCAATCATCACTGAATACTAAGATACCAACACCATATTATGTAGCAGTATGATAGTGAATTTCTGATTTCAATGTATTATAAACGTTAGTGTCAGGTATTTACTTCACTTTCACTGTATATTTCTTGTCTTCTACTCCATTTCACTTATCTGTAATTTAAAACCTCTAAATGAAATGAGAGCAAGCGCTGTAAAACATTCATGAACAATTCAACTATGATTCTGAGAAGAAATCATAGTAGTAAAATATAAAGGTAGGGTCTATTTGTGAACATATAAACAGCACATTGTATAGTATTATCTGAAATGAGTCGTTAGAAATCTGTCGGTAAACAGGTCAACAAGACCAAAGTAATGTAAGCATCTTATGATGATTTGCTTTACTATTAGAGTAACTTATCGGCTATCTGATCAAATTATTTCGAGTTAAATGATAAGGTTGTAAAGGTTAGTCAACTGAGATGACTTGAAT